GAGTATTTATGAATTTAGATGGAGTTGAATTTGTTAGCTTTATCACGTTTTAGCTAGGGTAGTAATAAATTGTTTTGCTAGTTGGTGTTGACTATTGTACAACCTTACATCAAAGTTGGTGTGTTTTTAATTTTCGTATCATATTAACAGAATTCAGACTACACTGTTCGGTTGACCAATCAATTTGAAGCTTGTTAGGTGATGGAATTTTATTGTATTTTTTATTTTATTTTATTTTGCCAAAACGAAAATAATACACAAAGGAGGCAGATGGAATGTTCAGTTCAGCTGTTCAGGTGCCAAAACGTCGAAACTTGGATTTAAATAGAAAGAAATTAGGATTTTGGTGCAAAACTAACCTCAATTTAGGATTCCAACTAGTGTGTTGCTGTTTTAAATTCCGTACCCAATTCGGCTGGTAACTTATAATTCTTTAAATACCGTTTTTGCGAAAATATGGTTGTACTTAATTTCCTGAATATACCGTCAAAATACTGGGTATATCATCATTTTTCTGTTGATTTTTTTTTCAGTTTTTAATATTTTTATCAAGCATTTTACATAACTTGAAAATTTTACACGTAATTTTAATATAGTTAAATTCTTATTAGATGTTAATCAATTTTAATATTAATTAGAGTTGGTTTTATAAGTTATAACATTAAATTTAATTAATATTTATTAAAATTGTTAAATAGACGGCAAAACCTGTTGATTTAGGAATATGCTTGTCCGATATGATTACCAATATGGTGTACATATATATATGAACACCCATTACATGATATCATAAATATGCACACAGGACCATTGAAAATACTATATAAACAACACGAACATAAAGTGTGATATTTTTAGAAATACCTAAAATATGAGTTTGAGAGGGTGCTTGTATTCCAACTGGAACAGGAACGAGTGTGAAAATAACAGTAATATGAATGGTTTGTCAGCAAAGCAAACCACTAATTACTACATCACGGTGGGTTTAAAAAGTATTAGTAGTATAATAATTATCTAACTTTCCTCTAAATTTTGGTAATATAACCATTCCAACCTTTTATTTAGGTTACTAGTACAACACTCGTGTAATACACGGGTGTTTGTTAAAAAAATTATTCTTAAATTTTAAAATTAATGAGAAAAAATTTTTTTAATAATTTTTTACAAAAAATATATATTATTATATATTTTAGAATGACAATTGTTACTTGTGAGACTTACATGTGTTATATTATAATATTTTTTTTTCTTATATCATATAATTACTTGAAACATAAATATATTAACTGATAAATAATTTTATTTTTTAATTAATATTAACAAATAATTTTATTATTATTATAAAGATAAATATAATATATTTAATTTATACATACAATATGGATGTTAAATCGAAACTCATCAAGAGTTGATTAATTTGATATATTATGTATGTAAAACTGATAAAAACTACAAAAATTATTAACTTTTAAAATACATTTTCAATTTAATAGTTATAATAAGAGATGACTTAAAATGCAATTAATACATGTAACATGACCATAAATAATCAACATATTTATGGATAATTCAAATTTAATTATTTTTAGATTGGAATTAAATTAAAATTTATCGAAACAAAAAAGCATGTAATTTTGCCACATAAAATCCCGAACCATGTGAATCTACCATTTAGACTTAGCACATTGGGTAATTATATATAATGGGGATTGTTACAAACAACAGATCTCATTGTTAGTCATACTTTCAATAGATATGCAAATTTTCAGATTTAAATGTAATATTATAAAAATTAATATAAATAAAAAATAACATTTTATAATATAAATATTTATTATTGTAAAAAATTAAATATAAAATATCGATCCGCTTAAGGAGCATGTCCTAAATTTGAAGATTTGAAGCAGGGAATGGGCCCATACTGCAACTCAATAGTTAACCTCTTGAAAATCTATTTCTGTTAGTATTGGGCCTGGCTCATATATCCTAACTGACTGCTATTAAACACAATTGTCTTTTATTTATTCTATCAATTACACAGCCATCTTAGCCCATAAAACCAATTTTCCCAGTCCACTAATGAACTACAAAGGCAGCGTGGTGTCACGTCCCGCTTCCTTTGACCCGAGAAGGCCCGCATGGGAGCAGCGCCCATGCGGGTCCTAGGCACGAGGATGCTTTGAGCAGCACGCCGGGGCACGAGCAAACGCGAGCAGACCCGAGGAGACCCGAGCAGTGCCGCGGGCGCGCAGGAAGGGCGCGCACGGAAGCGGGCAGCACGCGCGGACGCGCGGAGCCTGCCCGGTCTTTTGGGGACTTAGGCCGTACCATACCTAAGTCTTGTACATAGATACCTTAGGAAGGATCTAGTTTTGTCTAGGAGCTTCTAGAAGGCCCTAGAATTGTATAGATACGTGTAGTAGGGACTTGAAGGGCCTAGAGTCATGTAGAAGGTTCTAGGACGTGTAGGAGTCTTGTAGAAGGGACTAGAACCCTCAAGACCCTTGTAAGATCTAGAGAGTTCCCTAAAGGCGGTGGGGCAACTATAAATAGGGGACTCCCCACTCATTTGGTCCCCATCCAAGCATCCAAGCAACAATCAAGCTCTCTTGTACTTAGTTTGTGTGAATAGTACAAGCATTTCCCCTTTAACCCCCTTTTCCACGTTCTCTAGGCAAAGCACTCGCACACACCGAGCACGGTCAAGGCACGGTGAGGCTGACTTAGCTAGTTTGCACGAGGGGCGCAACGAGAGGCTAAGGCCGCACGCATCTTTTGAGAAATAAGGGCGTGACAAGTGGTATCAGAGCCACGTTCGGTACCGTGTAGAGTATGGCAGGAGACAAGGAGTACGAGGCGTCCGGGTCCGGGGTAATCGAGGAGCAACCGCGAGGGCGGGAGCATACCACTGCGACCAAGGACAAGAAGCGTCGGGACCAAAGCCGCGCTCGCGCCGAGGTCTCGGCCTTGGACCAAGTTGTTGGGGAAATGGGCGAGAAACTCGAGCGGGTCGAGTTCAACTTCCAGACGCTGGAGACGCACGTCTTGGAAGAGATGGAGTCCATGAAGCGCACGATCCAGGAGGGACTTGAGACGCGCACGACGGCAGAGGACCGCTTGGATCAACTGGAGGACTTTGTCAAGGGTCAGTTGGTAGACCTTGTGAAGGGCCTCCAAGCAAGCATCGAGGGGATGCGCGAGGACCTTGCGATGTGCAAGCGGGTGATCGCTAGTGGAGAGGCTAGTCACCCGATGTCCTCTCCAAGGGTGGAGTACCCGAAGCCGGTCGGGTACAACGGCGCGAGGGACGCCAAGGAAGTGGACAACTTCCTATGGAGTATGCAACAATATTTCGAAGGCATCGGACTCAAGGACGAGTCTACCAAGGTACGTACCGCTACTCTTTACCTTTCCGATAACGCAATGTTATGGTGGCGTAGGAAGCACGCCGACATCGAGAGGGGCGTTTGTCGGATCGAGTCATGGGATGACTTCACGAGGGAGCTCAAGAAGCAATTCTACCCCGAGAATGTGGTGTACCAAGCCCGCAAGAATCTTAGGGAGTTGAGGCAACGAGGCACGATTAGCGAGTACGTGGCACAATATACAACCTTGATGCTTCTTATCCCAACCTTGACCGAAGAGGACAAGTTGTTTTATTTCATTGACGGTCTACAAATGTGGGCAAAGCAGGAGTTGCAACGTCGGGGCGTGAAAACGGTCGATGAGGCCATCGCCGCAGCTGAGTCCCTTACCGAGTTTCACCCGCACGCTCGAGAGGGGTCATCGAGGCACAAAGGGGACTCGGACCAGGAGGAGAATGAGAGCGGACACCGGGAAGCCATAGACCAGGGGAGGTCGCCGGCTCGACGCGAAGGCAAGGGGTCAACGCGTCAATCTTACGAGGAAAAGAAGCAAACTTTTACGCCTCAAGTCAAATGCTTTGTGTGCAAGGGGCCACATCGCATGAGGGACTGCCCGAAGTTAGGCTCGTTGAACGCTATCACCGAGGTACAAGCAGACGACCAGGAAGAGGTCCAAACCATAGGGGCGCTTCAACAACTCAACACTGCCGTGGAAGGCACGACAAGCGGGGAGGGACCGCATGAAGCCGTTTGATGGTCGCTGAGGGACGGATCAACGGTAAACCGATCAAGGCCCTGGTGGACACAGGGGCAAGTCATAGCTTCATAACCGAGGCCGAAGCCCAACGACTAGGCATCCGCGTCTCAAAGGCAGAGGGGTGGATGAAGTCGAACAACGCGAAGGCCGTACGGGTGACGGGCGTCGCCAATAGGGTACGGATTCACTTAGGCACCTGGGAGGGACACGTGAACTTTAAAGTTACCACAATGGACGACCGAGACATCATCTTGGGGATGAACTTCTTTGTGGACAATCATATGTTCCCAGTGCCACATTTGAGGACACTTTGTGCGCTTCAAGGGAAGAAGCCGCATTGGATACCGGTTGTGGAGTCCGACTCAGGGAATGACTTGACGGGGATCAAGTATCACAAGAGGGCACCATCGGAACCGACTTCATACCTTGGGGCTATGCAATACGTCACGCTACCTAGTGGGAGGACGGATCCCACACGACGACGAGGGCGTCGCCGAAATAGGCGGGGGAGAATGTCACGTCCCGCTTCCTTTGACCCGTGAAGGCCCGCGCATGGGAGCAGCGCCCATGCGGGTCCTAGGCACGAGGATGCTTTGAGCAGCACGCCGGGGCACGAGCAAACGCGAGCAGACCCGAGGAGACCCGAGCAGTGCCGAGGGCGCGCAGGAAGGGCGCGCACGGAAGCGGGCAGCACGTGCGGACGCGCGGGGCCTGCCCGGTCTTTTGGGGACTTAGGCCGTACCATACCTAAGTCTTGTACATAGATACCTTAGGAAGGATCTAGTTTTTTCTAGGAGCTTCTAGAAGGCCCTAGAATTGTATAGATACGTGTAGTAGGGACTTGAAGGGCCTAGAGTCATGTAGAAGGTTCT